TTCGAAATCCTGTTGGCGACTTCGTCATCAATCTTGGTGTTGCGGGAGAGGGTACTGCCCAGATACGGGAAGTTCTCCACCACTTGCAGTTGGGTTCCGTTCACGCTGATTTGCGGCGGCGCGTTGGGGGCTGTGGCTGAGTAGGTTGGCGGTTGTGCATCACCACCGTCTTCTGCGTGTTAATAACCAGACCGAATTTCTCTCAGGCGGCGGAGAATAGGTCCATGCTCCGTTGCATCTCCTCTTCCGAGGTGGTGTTAAGGGCGCCGTCGTCGTCGAAGAGGAGTTCGTGCACGGTGGCTGTGGATACACGCGATTGGAAGTTCATGCGCCGTTGATTCAGGAGATGACCTTCCGTTCTTAGGCGATGCGGATTCCGGGGCGTTCGTCGCGGTAGGCGTCCATCAGCATGGCAGAGAACATAAGACTGAAGAGGGTAGGCGCCAGCACACAGCCCTGCTTCACTCCGGTGGTCACTTCGAATGCCTCTGAGACAGCTCCGTTGTCCGTGACTCGCGCCATCATACCGTCGTGCAGCTGACGCACCATCTGAGTGAATCGTTCCGGACAGCCGAATTTCTTCATGATCTTCCACAATCCTTCACTATTCACCGTGTCGAAGGCTTTCGTCAGGTCCACGAAGGTAGAGTACAGGTGGGTCCGCATCTCCTGGCACTTCTCCTGAAGTTGGCGGGCGGCGAAGATCATATCCGTTGTCCCACGATGACGACGGAAGCCGCATTGGCTTTCCGGCAGAAGGCCTTGTTCCAGATGGTTATTGAGGCGGTTGAGCAGGATGCGATCGAAGATCTTCCCGGCGATGTTCAGTAGGGAGATGCCGCGGTGGTTGTCGCAGACTTGGCGATTCCCTTTTCGCTTGTATAGGTGCACGATAGTTGCGTCCTTGAAATCTTGCGGGACTTCACCTTGACGCCACATATCCTGCACCACCACTTCCATCCTCCTCCTTCTCCTCCACCGCCCCAGTGGTGGACATTCAGGCTGCCGTCTCACACATCACCAACCACGACACAACAACCGCAACCACCCCCACCTCTCCCGATTCCAGTGATGAGGATCAGGACTACACCTGCCCTCACTGCGACCTGTACACACAGGGTGTACAGGTCATGTGCATGGCTGCCCATTCCTCCTCATTTTTTGAGCTTTTATTGTTGATCAAAATCCCGGTCGTGTTGGTTGTGGATCAGGGGGTGTGGTGGTACGCCTGGGCTCGGGTCCACCAGGTCCAACGACCTACGCCCTCTTCCGCCTCCAGCCTTCATGCCTACGTCTTCACACAGGGCCCAGATTGGGGAGGAGAGGAGATAGTGCGGCAGATGCTGCGCAAGTCTATTCCCACAATAAACTACTGTGCGTGACCGCTCTCATGAAATTTTGGCCGAAATTCTGGAATGCCTTTCGATTAGGAAGGATAACTTAAGTGGGGTTGTTATAATGATTATCGTGCAGCACAACCTTATAGCATTTCGGACTCGCTAGGATGTCTGCTCTTGAATGAACTCCTTTTGACCTCCTGTGGACACTACAATCGGTCAAAAATGGCTACTTAAGTAGCATGCCTTTTCCTATTTATTTTCGATGGTCTTATAAATTCAAATATATTTTATGGAGAACACGCATAAAAATATGCTTCCTTTTGCTCATTTGGTAGGAAATCACAATGCCTTTATATATATGCCTGAAAAAAGCGTATCTTTTGGTTTTAAACAAGTTTTCGAATTCCTAAATACGTTGCAGCCTGATCTGCCATTGCATCGGCGTTTAGCAATTTCAGTCTTCAAAGTGCATGCTTTCCGCGTAAGGAGAATAATACATTTCTCCATGAATTTCAGAAGATATTAGGTAGAGTTCATGAAAATTTGCAATGGATCCGGAGTGTGTCGTACATTTCATGAGGACCATTAATAAACGGACATGTGCGGTCTAGCACGCATGGACATCACACGGTCTTAAAAATCTCATAATTAGAAATGTTTTATAAACCAAAATATATGCTTTCTTCGGCATAAAATATAACGACAATGTGATTTCCTACCAAATGAGCTAAAGGAAGCATATTTTTGTGCATTTTCTCTATAAAATATATTTGAATTTATAAGACCACCGCAAATCAATAGGACAATGCATGCTACTTAAGTAGCCATTTTTTACCGATTGTAGTGTCCGTAGGAGGTCAAAAGGAGTTCATTCAAGAGCAGACATCCTAGCGAGTCCGAAATGCTATAGGGTTGTGCTGCATGATAATCATTATAACAACCCCACTTAAGTAATCCTTCCAAATCGGAAAGGTATTGCAGAATTTCGGCCAAAATTTCATGAGATCGGTCACGCACTGTAATTCCCGCACAAGTCACCGTGCTTTCTTCACCTTGCTGTATAGCCCATGGCGGACAACGCCTGTCTCGATAGCCGAACTGTCATGAATGGCAAGTTTTCCTGTGTTATAGTTCTGTAGGCATTGCGTGACAAATCTCCCAGACGCAGAGATAGTGTAATTAATGGTTCGGCCTTCGTGTGTAATTACAAAAGATAACTCCAACATAGTCAGCAATTAAAAAAAGCTACACACTTGCACCAAATGTTGCCATTAGACATGGTTTATGGTTGACCGTTCGACAAACCAGCGCAATCCGAAATTTTGGGAGTTTATATCTGCCTAGAATATGTCATCTTGCGTAAGTTCCTTATTTTCTGTAGTCTCACATGCGATATGTTTAATTGGAAGTAAGCAGTGACTGAAAATACTTACGCTGTCTGGTTGTACAGCAATTTTTGACATAAGGATAGACAGTTCTGCTAAAAATACAAGGAATTAGGCAAATCCCAAGACATTATAACTAAGGCACTAATCGTTTCCTGTTACTATTCTTTTGATATTCCTCCATATTATCATTTTTAATGAGCTAATTCAACCAAGTGCAAAGCAAACTATCAGAAAATACGAAATAGCAATCAGGGTATCTCGAAGGAACTGAAGTAAGCCGAGCCAAATCGGAAAGTCACCTTTAAAGCCGATGACGCTTAGCATATATTTTGTGCTTTGATAAAAAGCCTGAAATAAAATGCTTTTATGAAACGGAAGTTACATTCTGCGTCACTGGAAAATGAAATTCTCACATCATTCAATAAATGAATGCCCAAATCATGGGGAGATATGTAGGAGTACAGTCATTCACTCTGCTTGAAGTGCACGCTTGGCTGCTGCCACTAGCGCACCGGCGCCCTTCCCACTGCCGTCTTCAGATAATTTTAGCCGGAACTAGATAGAAAGAGTGTAAAATTAAAGACGGAAATTTGCATCCTTATATCGTCGTGCACGTGACGAAAGAACTCGGCAAAACTCCGAAAACGTGAAGGAATATCTCGAATTGCATTTCTCGACCAATGACCTCAACGAAGATATTTAAGAAATAAACAGGTCAAATCATGGCGGTTCCGGCCACCATTCAACGTTGGTGTCAGGAAGGTTATGCTTATCTGTTAATGTCGCAAAATAACGGCACATTTGACGATTTGTAACTAGGTAGCCGGCAAAATTTAACAATACTTGAGAACATAAAGGAGACAAGTGATAAAGTTGAAAAAGTTTTAGGTCATTTATGACATCTTAGGAGGCCCAAATATTGATAAAAGTCCTTCCGGTCCCTAGACTGTTGGACAGCCCCTTACGGACAGAATCGGGTGCACGAAAAAGTGGAAATATAAAAACGCCTCAAAAGAAAATTTATTATTCGGTTAAGTTGAACCTCGTATTTTGAAAGGCAAACTCTAATTAAAATCTATAAATTTTCCTTTCGAGCGAGACACAATAAATCTCAACGCCAAAAAACTGCTTTTGCTTTTAGTTGATATAATCGGATGGCCTCTCTACTGCGGCCGCACTAATTATGGTCTTGATCACCTCAACGATAATCTCTAAATGCTGAAAACGAACGCACAAGATCCAGCAAAACGAAAGACCGAATGCGTGCATTTTTCTAATTAACCAAACGGCACCCTAACCGCTTAGCTGTCAGCATGCTCCACAACTTTATATATACTGCATCACTGCATGACCGAGGCGGGCACTAACCACCCCAACTTGAATAAAATAAGCAAATCTCATGCTGTTAATTTTATGGTAGAAGTCGATGCCCCCGTTAGTAGTCCGAAAGATGGGGACATTTGATTCGATTTTCGTTTGTCTGCCAGACATTGTACGGGCCAAGGCCTATATTTGGGTAAGAGTCGAACTGTATAACAGAGCTTAAGGATTCTAAGGCTTAAATGTTGTCTACGAATCACTACTGAGGCTTTTTGGAGTCTACGTTTGGCTTCGAATGAAATATTTGTAGTAATAAAGTATAATCCAAATGGATTTGGAGAAACGAATTAAAGCTTACATTTTCTCTGTTGACAAACAATATTTTTAGGAGTCCATGAACGCAATATGAGCGGGAAAACAAAGACTTCACCCACGCTTTCAGGTCGCGTTGTTTATTATGATCATGCCTGTTAAGGGTGTCGAGGATGAGTGTAAACGTATCCGAGTTGAAATGATATAAAGGCTTTTGACTTGTCTGGTAAAATATTTAATCTCTTTAGAAACAAAATCAACAGCATTGTCACCATGTACAATTAAGGTTTTTCCTTGGGATTCCTATGATATACGATGCTGCAAAACCCCTGGTGCAACAAGAAAAGTGAAACCTACCATTCCATGTGTTTTACTAACCGGAAATTAACGTTTTCCCGAGCGGATAATGTAGGTACGTGTTTACATCTTTTGGATAGTCAACCACTCTTCTTCCTAGGATAGAGTGCAATCACCGAGTTTTTGAAATCGCATCCAGTGCTTTAATACTCAAGCTGCCTGCGAGTTGCCGCTGGCGGCGAGAGGTTCCGTATTCCGTTAAGGCTGAATATCGAAGCGAGTCTAATATGGTCTAATCTATGATCTTTCTGGACTAAAAGTCAAGCCTGCTGGATATATATGATGGACAACTGTGTAAGCGAGGTTGCATTGGCATAGTCTGTATTAGCAAAACACAACTGATACTCTCGTGTAACTGTTTCCGACAAGGGATGGAAGATTATACAGGGCACGCTTAGGGAGGAAAGTAAATGGAGGAAATGCTCAAGTAATGGTTAACAAATATCAACCAAAAATTATATCCGGAGTCATTTATACCTTAAAACTGCTAGGTTAGTCACGGACCAATAACGTCAAGCTAATTAAGCCGCCAACAGGACTCACTGTGCAACGCGACGGCACAAGTTTTGTCAAAACTTCAATCATTGTGTGCGCAAATGTGGGATGGAACCTA